AAATTGCTTGTTGCGCACCCATAAAAATGCTAAAACAGTATTACTGTAATTAGAATACACTGTACAGTGCACAATGACTCCTGCTTGTATGCGCCACTCTGTTTCCTTTAGGATAAATGACTAACTAAACCTGAATACTTTGTTAGGAGAGAAATTTTCTGTTTCATTTCTCCAATGAGAAACAGGGCTGCCATGTGACTGGAGACCAGATTTCAATGCTTGCTGGCATATAGTCGTGCTGAATAGCTCTTGGCACAAGTAAACCAGTAAATGGCTGATTTACTAAATTATGATCGGATGAGCCTTTGCAGTTCCAACAGAAAGTGTGTCTCTTCATGGGGTGTTTAAATTGTTTGGTGTTTAAATATTCAGCATGAGGCTAATGTGAACTGATGAAGGGAGACTGCAAACATTCACTCTCAGTGTAGACAGGGAGGCAGAGATATGCAACATATCATGTGCCCTGTGGAGGTGGAAATGATTCATATTTAAAGACATTGCTGTCTTCTTCCATTGCTTTAAGGTGCTCTTAATTAGCATAGTGCTTGAAGGAATCCATTCAAAATAAGGAAACATGCATGCGCAGAGAAGCATACAAATGTGTTGCTTAACCAAGTCACTTGTCACTTGTCCAAGAAAGTCTTTTTCAACAACTGTATGCTTTGAAAGTCTTTTTCAACACCTTGGCCAGCCTTCCCCCAAAATTCAGCAAAGACATTAACGCATCTGTAAGAGAATGCTGATTTCTAATTATGTTACTTCTGAAAGCCGGGGAGGATGATTTCTTTACTGCCACCTGCTGGAACTGGCAATAACCCTTTGTCATACCAGAAGAGCAAGCTCGCTCACTTTAGAGGACAGATATGGCAAGCGTTTAAAATACTGTGATCCGAGACACTTACAGTAGATTAGAATTTTTTATTGGTGCTCTGTTGCCATAACAACATAAAGGCAGCAGCAGATGACTTAAGCTAAGCTTGGTGCTCATCTGGCAGTTAAAATGAGTACAGTTCACTTCACAAGTTCCCCATATGGACCCTTAGTGTACAGTAATGAAGTAACCATATGGTGGGGAGAAATGCACAGAAAACAATTGTGCTCCAGTGGATAAGTAAACCGGGCAGAAAGTTATGGAAGTCCACAGCAGAGAGAATGGTCTATGCGTTGGCTAGCTCAGGGTTGCTCTTCCAGAAGGGAATTCCTCCAGCCTTCTCTTAAGTTACTTTTTAACGTGCATGTACAAATTGCATGATATTGAACATTTTGCAGCATCATTCATCTCCTAAGCTGTCAGTCTTGCATACAGATCAGCTTCCTTATCCAACTGTCATTCTTAAAAGAGAACAAGAAATGTCTGGACATTGAACTATTTCTGAGTAGAAAAAATTAGTTTGAGATAAACCCTTTTAGAAACACTTGCATATTTTTGCATTTACGCTTGGCTATAAATATTCTTGGTATATACAACACTTTTCAGAAGGTAAGTGAAAAAGTAGAATTTACATGATATATTTCATATTCCTTAAGAATTTCCAAAAAAGAAAAAGAAATAATTAATTGGCACTCTTCAAAACAAAACAAAACAAGAGCCCATAGCTCATTCTTCCGTACAAATGCCCAGTTCAGAATATGGGACTAACCAGATATTCAACTAGTAAGACAGCTTGCTAAAGGCTGCAAAGTCAATTTTGTACTACACATGCTTCATAAAAGATGAATATAAATGCATTAGTTAGACACGGTAAGCTAAATTAGAAGGTCAGGCAGGGCTGGAAGGGCTGAAAAATCACACAACCAATGACTGTAATTACTCTTTTTTAAAGTCTATTAAGTGGTGTTGTTCTATCAAGGCTCAGGGGTATAAGACATGAAGTACAAGATAAAGTAATGTGTATTTATTACTCCCACAGGATCAATTTACTAGATATTTTCAGCTCCACAGAACAAAATACACAAATGCAGTCTTTGTTGCTTTCTTCAAAATTCTGGCATATACATTTCCAAAGGAACTACTGTGTTAAGAAGAAAATGTCTTTAAGGGATTAGCATCTTTTCTTGTGTTTTATCATTTTGTTGTATGAATGTACATATCTAAAGGTATGACATTGCATTTTTTAAAATAAGTAGTCAGTTCAATCAGTTATTCAACCACAGCTATTTCTCAGTGACAAAGATCTTTTATCCTATGCTTCAATCCCTGTGACCAAACTACTGAAAAGACCCTGGTGAGAAACCTGAAAACGCCTTGGGACACTCTAGGCAATAGTAATCTAGACCAAAGGTCTTCAACCTTGGCAAGTTTAAGATTTGTGGACTTCAACTCCCAGAATTCCTGAGCTAACATGACTGAAGGAGGAATTCTGGGAGTTGAAGTCCACAAGTCTTAAAGCTGTCAAGTTTGAAGACCCCTGATCTAGACTCTATTCCAAAGATGCTTTTTTTTTCTTTGAAGACTTTTCACTTCTCACCCAAGAAGCTTCTTCATCTCTCTAGATTCTAGTTAAGTATCCACTGAATATATATTCTCTTCCTATTTTTGACTTATTATTTTTATGTTCTCCAAATCCCTTATCACACAATTTCAAACATTGTGTTATCTCCTGTAAATCATTGTTCTAAGATGCTGTTTATGACAATTGTCCACTTTATTAGATGGACAATCTTAATTCCTTGTAGATAGAAATTGTGCTACAAGCTAAATCAAGCTGTTTTTGTATTAAGCAGTAACCAACCTACTACATATTGCACCAAAGCTCAGAATCCTTGTTCTTGCTCTTTTGCCCTAAGAGAACATGGTCCAGGAGCAAAGTGATCTGTACTATTCTTTCTATCCTTTGTATGCTAAGGTTTTTAGCCATAGATTCTAAACTGCACAATCTGCTGTAAACAGTAATGCACTAAGAAAAAGCTTTTTCTGCTGACCTTCAAGAAGTCCTCCTTCCAAATCCAATAAGGCTGTGTCTTTCAGCTATCAAAATGTCATCCTTTTAGAGCACAGGTGTCAAACTCATGGCATCACATTGCCGTCACGTGACTTTTTCAACCCTTTTCCCATTCGAGGAGCTCAGGTGGGTATGGCCTGCACATGATGCATCCAGTCCGCAGGCTGCGAGTTTGACACCCCTGTTTTAGAGTTATCCCTGAATTTGGATTTTTCACAACATAATCTCCTCCCATGTGGTTTTAGTATAATGTCTCATGTGGACAATTGATAGCATTTTAGTTTTTGTCATATCACTATGAAAGTAGTACTGGTGGCCATTTTACAAAAGAAGTTATTTTCAAGATCATAGAGGGAAAAAAGGCAATATATATTGTAAGTGCCCAACTATACAAGATGAATCAAGCAAATAGCAAATGAAAGTGCTGTATTAGTTCATTTTGGAGTAAAATCTTTGCAATAATTACTGTTCTCTCTCAGACTACCAAATGATAAGACATATGGCTACATAAGCTCCAGCTTCTAGAAAGAGCACAACAGACTTCTAATGATAGTCAAGTTTTTAACTGACCCTATCTAAAAGATAAACACAAATTCAACCTTCAGTTTTTGCAGAATTAACCATTCTCTGAACCCACACTGTCAAATAAAGCACTCAAACATTCTACCAAAGTATTATTCAATTTAACAAGCTAGCTGAGTAGCATTTGTTATTATTTTAAAGCTAAAATAGACCTTCATTTCAAAGGAGAAGAAATTGAGAATGTGTTCTGCTTTCTAAAATGAGTCCAGAATTTCAGGTGCAATCCCTAATGTATGTTCAGCATGGGAATGCAGTAGATGTACTTTCTTTATTTGTTTATGTATTCATTATAATGGAATAAGCATGAAGATCACTTTTATTATCAATTTTAACCCACTTCTGGCTACATGCTACCTGTGAGGTCCTCTTCAGCATTCCAAAAATATTTCCATTGTTACTCCCAGATTTCTATGAGACAGGCTATAGATTCAGTTTACCTGAAAACTGCCCATTGGCAAAATCTTATCTAAATTATTGTTTTATTTTGTATGTATGCAAAAAAAATATTACACTGAGACCTAATCAGCAAATTCTTTTTAAAACCTCAGTGCCTGAGTATAGAGACATATCTTTATGGTTTGATGTTTACCAATTTAATTTTTTTTTAAAAAAAATACTTCTTAGCATCCTTTACCAAATCATTTCTACAATCATGGTACAATTCTCACAATCCGGTTCATAAATTCTTTGTTTCATAAAATGCCATTGTGTTTTCTTCATATTTCCTTCTATGTAGGAAGACTACACCGGGAATTGGGAACTTGGTCAACAATATTCCTTCTGGATACTAAAATGTTTAATGCTAATTTTAGTATTAATTAGTATTTGCTAATCTTATTATTGATATTGAATCACTGTGGTTAATTTACCATTAACATTTATGTTAGGTAACTGGAGTTTATATGAGGGGTGGGGTGATTAAAAATGAGAGTGAGTATAAATACAGCACCTTGTTTATATAATGCAAGAAGAAGCATTAAAGACTGATTTGGTAAAAGGACAAATTAAGTTTGTTTATTTGCTTGGTTGAGCTTTTGATAGTGCAATCGCTGGATAGAAAACCTAGAATCTCTTGACCATCCACACCAGTCAGAAGTAATTCTGTCTCTTCCTGCAATTTTTAAAGCTTCTATCAGCACTGATGGTCAAATTGCTAAAAGAGCTATGAGTCTGACCTTCGTGTGTACATAATTTTGTGCTTTATATGTAATAATATTTTCTTGAACATGGCTCAGTAAGTAAAGGTAGCTGTTGCTTCTCTTTAAACACAGATGTATTTAATGAGAATAGAGCTGGATGCAACAAAGCTGAACCAGATATAAACAAGCTTCATACAGAGCATGTGGCTGTACTATTCCAAATGTAGACGTTGACTATATTGTGCTGAAGTGTTATTTGAAAAAAGTGATGCATTATAGATTTAATCATAAACATAAATACATATGTATGTGCACACATACACTACATTTTGCTGACCTTTGGCAAACGCTCAGGGTCACCAGGATGCCTTGGGATGACTTTCTGTAACCTTTGGAAGCCATAGTCAATGGTTGGTTCATTCAAAGCTAGAAGAAGAAAAATAGTAATTAAGCAAAACTGAATTTTTCACTAAAAATTCTTGAGTTCTAGAAGCTATCACAATCTGGAGGATCCAAAGAAATTCATTTCCTAAAAGCTTTCTAGTCTACTTTTTTTCAACTTTTCCCATGTTATCTTATTGGGAGGAAAAGTTGTGGAACTGAAAGCAAAAGAAAACAAGGCTAAAGGCTCATCACTTTTCACTTTTATGACATATATGATACCATTTATATATGCAGCCATGTATATTTTCCTTAGGATATTAACAATGTGCTTTTGAGATGGAAAATGAAGAAATAAATTCTGCCAAAACCAATACTACTTAAAGCAAAAAAATTACACCAAGTGACACTTACGAAGAACCCAAAGAAGAGTTAAAAAGTGCATGTAACTAATTGCTCTATGTCAGCTTCTAAAACTTGATCATCTGTGTGAAATAACTTTCTATTTGGTAAATAATTAGAACCATTAATATTATACCTTATAAAGACTGACCTGAAATCATGGAAAAACAGTTAATACTGTTTTACTTATTAAATATGAACATTTATGACCAATTTTCTTTTCAGAAAAAAAAACTACAAGCACCTTGACCAAATATATAACATGCATTAACCAGCATCAGAAGATGCCAATAAGATGCCAACACTTATACTGTAAGACCTCAAAGCATCCTAAAATTAAAACAAAATGAAATTTTAGGTATCTATGGACATAGAATAAAAGCATATTTATAACATGGAAAATTAGGAGTTTCTGTCTTTGGACATGATTAAAATATTTTAATGTATAGATGAATAAAGTCTAAGTGCTATTGTTATTGCTATGAATAAAGTAAAATAACAGCACCGTATGCAGCATATTCAATTGTTTTGACATAGTGTTTTCTTCCAACTGAACATTTTCTATTATAACCTGTTTTATTTCATGAACCTTTATTACTGTGGTTGCTTATGTGTATTTCTAGAAAAGAATTGTCACTGATTGGCCATGCCTACACCCAGTTTAGTGAAGGGGGGAAAAGTCTCGATATGACATGTGATGCCACCATGACGGCGTGAGTTTGACACCCCTGGTCTAGGTGCTTATTTCTATTCAGTCACTATCTTCTATTATTGAAATATCCAATAAATTCCACTCTGAGTCAGAATTTATTCTTTGGTGTTTTAATATTAGGTGTCACAACGTTTTACAAGTGTCTTGCTTGGGAAATAAGCAAATAGCCAGATCTATAAAACAACATCTTCCTATTGTTCAAAGAACTAAATAAAATTGAATCCTCAGTGCAATTACTCTAGTGAAATTCTGAATTAACTTGTTACTTTATACAGCTGAATAAATGGATTCATTTATAGATTCTTGGAAGTTTTTCCATGTTTTTAATGAGAGAGGCAACCTACTCCACCATTCTTAAAAGTTTTCCTTCATTTCCTGCAGCTCCTACTATAAATGTTTTTCCTTAGATAAAAAAATTAATGATTTTTTAGAAAAATCTTTTTGACTGAGTAACACTTTTATTTGTGTTTGTAACATTCATCCATACGTTAAAAACAAAGTTAATACATACTAAAAAATGCTTTCCCATTACCCTAAGTTTCAAAAGTACATGGAAAATAGTGCTGATTTTAAAGACGGTATTAAATTCAAATAGGTCCCAAGGCTAATGGAAGCAATTTGTGTACCAACCCAAACAGACTGGCCTACTTTTCAAAATACCGATATGATAATCTCATGATTTTAAAAGGACATTTAAATTGAAAGACTGTGAATATAGTATATAATTATACCAATAGCACCCTTTAACTTGTCAGCTTGTAAATCTAAATGGCTATCAATCATTTCTAAAGAGGAAATAAACCTTAAAATTCTTTGATTGACTGTGCTTACTTTTTGTGATTTTTTTTTAAAGAAATGGAAAAAAATGGATTAAAGTGGCCAGAAATCCATTTACAAAAATACATTATTTTACATAGGTGAGTAAAAAGCCAGTAATTATACTTCCCAAAGACATCTAAATCAAAGAAAATACTTTCCCTCACTTATGCAATTTAAGTTGTATGGAAGTTCAGATAAGTTTTTTATTAAGATATTTTTCTAAACGAAATGCTTATTGAAGTAACTAATAGAATACCATTTTCATTTAAGGTAATGCAATCAATTTTGCAAATATGAGATTTAAGCCATTTTCTCCTATCTAAACAATAAACTTTCAACCTGTCTCTTGTGTGAATTAACTAAAATTATACCCAGGTGCACAAAACCTGTCTGTCTATGCTCATGCATGATTTAAGGCACAATATTTATTATTCTTTCCATTTTATGAATTACCATTTAAACCCTTGAGGAAGAACTTTCTTTGAGTACAGTCAGGCTTAGAAATTCTTTAAGCAGTGTACTTAAAACTGTACCTTAAAAATTCCCAAACATCCCATACAATAATAAAATAAATAAAATTGTACTTTCAATGAATTTATTTTAATATGCTTTAGAAATAACAGTATTATGTATATAATGGAATGATCATTTTCATAATTGTGGATAGACAGAATGTATGTTCCCCTTTTTAACAGACTTCGAAGGGTTATCTTTCCTGTTTCCATATTTTGTATCAAGAAGGGCTGTTGATATACCAATAAAGTTTTTATTGTTGATTAAATGACTGATGCACAAAAAACATCTATTTCAAGTCATATTCTCAACTTGCAACTAAATGATTGACACTTGGTATCAGCAATTAAAAGAACCTGATCAAATATCATAGCTTGGGAAACTTGTTCAAATGTAATGGGAATAATTGAGTTAGACACATTTCAACATTACTATTTGAAAGAAAATAAACACACTATAGGGGAATATTTTGGAAGTATCTCAGCACATGTCCAGAAGCAAAACAATACAAGTTATATTTCAAGCACTCCTGATTTTTTTTCATTTTAATACCCATATTTATATTATTAAACATGCACACAACCAAGGCATCAGATTAAAAAATACAAGCAAAAGCTGTCCTTGAATGTGTACAGTAGTATAGATCAAGACAATATTTTGAACTACTAGGTAGGTAGCTCGGTTGGTTGGTTGACATTGATTTCTATGGCTGCCCATCTCACAACATACACACCCACACCCACACACATGCAATAAAAAATAATAGTGCAAGCAAGACATACAGATATATTTCACCTTGGGTAAGTTAAGGGATCCCTTGGATGCCCTTTCCTGGTGCTTAGTGGCTCCATGATGGAGGACAGGAGGCTTTAATTGACTCTTGGTAAGATGGAATGACTATGGATTGAAGGCACCTCAATTTGCATCCAATTCAAAGCGGTGGTTAGGAACTTTAAAACCCTTCATGCCATGGACCTTGGTTAGATGAAGAACTGTCTCATCCTAATTATATTGTTCCATCTCAACTGGTCAGGCAGGGTATTTTAGGGATTCTATTGGTTAAAGAATGCCAATTGGCAAGATCCAGGAAGACAGTTTTCTCTGCTGTTGTCCCCAGCCTTTAATCCCAGAGCAGGCTCCCATTCTTCTGACCTTCAGAAAATGTGTTAAAATTGGCATGTGGGTCAAAAAGTTATATGCATCCTTGGTGAAAGTTGGTATTGAGATGATGTTCTCTCCATCTTTTTAACTCTTTAACTTTCAATATTTTAACCCCAACCTTTTAAATTCTGTTCTTAACTTTGTTCTTATTTAGGGTTTTAATACTGTAACATCATTTTTATTGTAAATCACCCAGAGTTACTTAGGTGAGATAGGGAAGGAATGAATGAATGAATGAATGAATGAATGAATGAATGAATGAATGAATGAA